CTACTACATGAACATGAGGTGTTCACAAGCCTACTCAAATTCTGAGCAAAAGTCATTGAAGAGAAGGTAGATGACACGGACCTCGGGCTGGGATGTATGTGAATAATCTTCAAGAAGCATGGCTGGTCTCATCTCCCTCTGAGCCATTCATTATTACAGGGACAAGATCAATCAAGTTTGTTTGGCAGGTGCAATATGATATCTCAAGTATCATTGTTATGACACTGAACATTACAGGAACGTCTGACTTGAAAATCATGAAAAACCAACAGCCTATGATAGTTCTTGATTGATTGCTTCATTTCTTACTGATCTCATAGCTTACATTTATGGACCATATATATAAGTTTTATATGTAGTATGCTCATGTCGCCTGTTGCCAAGTATAAGATTTGTTTTGCACTCAAATTTTTCCGCATGAGGTTGAATTTTGAGTCTAACTAGTAGTACACAGTGTCATGTCTTTGCTAAGTGCTCTAAGTCCACTTGGTTCAAAATCACTTCGTATGTTGTGCGAATTGTGCATGCTTTGAGCAGCTGTAATGACTGTGCAATCTGATGACAAGTATGAAGCTATACATCTTGTGGCCTCTGTCGGCACTGTGCATTACTGTACAATCTGACAATGTGTGAAGCTGCATGCCCTGTGACCACTGTCAGCGCTGTGCATTATTGTGAGAAACTATCGAAAATACCAATCTCTGTGGACAAATTTGTAGTTTACTGATGTGTGTCCATATATACATTAGTTTAAATTCCACAAATATTCTTTGCATTCCAGATAACATTAAAACCTATCTTAAATGTTCCTAACCCTGCTGTGAAAGGGCAAAAATTGGATTTTTTTTTTAAAAAAAAAAGGCAATTGATGTGGTTGTATCTTGGTGACTTGCACCACATGCATTCCCAATGTGTCTGAGTGAATTTGTGATGGGCTTCCTTGAGTACTGCAATACTGAGCAGGAGCACATTATAGTACAGATAGTCTGACAAGGTATTTGTAGTATCCAGTGCCATCAGTTACATATCCTCCACTATCTCTTGCATGAATCTCTTCTGAATAGTAGCATAGTGCTGCATCTCTACTGCACTAACACTAGGGGCCAGTTCATTCAGAGCACGGATGAAGTCCATTTGAGTAACCAAAATGTGCAAGTCACCTGATCCAGCAATTTCAGTAAGATAGTACTGAGGTGTCAGTTGGTGCTGTCGAAATTCTGACTGTTTATTGAGTTGTGCTGTTCAGTATCGTCAGAATGTGATATATATCGTGTGTTCCGACAGACCTATTTTGCTATCCAGCTCAGCAACTTTCCTGTTTAATGCATTTAACATTGCATCGGAGCATAAAGCATAGAAGTCGGCTCCAGTGTAGTGAAACGGGCACTCTTTAGCGATGTCTGCGAGACTGAGATCACGGTCGAGCTTAAATTTTCTTGTAAGTGCACGAAGGATGTCGAGTTGGGCTTCGTGTGTCTGGCTAACCCCGAGATATAACATTCGGTCAAACCTAAGGAAAGAACGTAAGGCTTGTTACGTAAAATAATGTCAGACTTCAAACCTTCCAGGTCGCAAAAGAGCCGGGTCTAGTAGGTCGGGGCGATTGGTAGCTCCGATGACGAAGACATCACCTCCACTTCCAGCAGACATGCCATCTAGTTCTGCAAGAAGTTGACTTACGATACGGTCCATAACACCGCCCGAGTCGCCTTGATTGCCTCGCTTTGGTGCCACAGAGTCGAGCTCATCGAAGAAAATGACGCATGGTTTCGCATCACGCGCACGTTGAAATATTCGTCGAACGTTTGCTTCAGATTCTCCGATGTACATGTTCAGAAGTTCGGGTCCTTTCACTGAAAAGAAGTTCAACGAGCATGAAGTTGCCACTGCCTTCGCAAGCAGCGTTTTTCCTGTGCCTGGGGGTCCGTACAACAACATTCCTGTGTGTGGCACCTAATTCAGTAGCTGGGTAACTAGACTAGAAAATGAATGGACCTGAACGCTTCTTTAACCCTTCTATGAATAATTCAGGGTGCTCCAATGGAAGTTGGATAGTGTCCAATATTTCGTTCTTTACTCTCGACAGCCCACCGATATCCTCCCACATGACGGCAGGGATCTTCGGAGTCCCGATGTTTTGAGCAAAAGTTGTCCTCGCCTTCAGAAGCGATAGTTCCACATGATTTGCTCGAATACCTATCGCACGGGACCGTGTTCGACAAGTAATTCTGTTACTGCAAACATGGTGATCAGCGAGATTATTAACTTGAAAAGCTTCGACCGCACAGTGACTCTCTAGCAGCAATAACCTCCGCTTGTGTCAAGAAGTCGGCTATATCAATGGCAACTAGTGCAGCAGTCTGCGTGGCAAAAGAAGCCACTGAAACATCAGAAGCCAGTTTGACATCAATCATACAATGATATATTATGCTCAATCGTTCTGCCTCAGTCGGAGCCTGTGAGAGGTACAACGAAGGTTATCCAGCGCGTCTATGTGAACAATCAACAGCGGTCCCACCTTTAGCACAAATTCGTTTGTAAAGCGCGAGAGGAGGATGGCAGGAACCTTAGATGTGTCACTCGCAGTTGCGATAACGAAAATCTGGCTGCCCGTGGATTGCATATGGGCTTCGACGTCCATTAGGCAATCGTTCAGCGCATGAGACATTGTAGTACCTATGGTATTGGTTAAGAAGAAGATGTCACACTGATGTCTGCACACCTTTTCCCAGTTCTGAAGCCGGAGTAGACTGAGACAACGCATCTAGGTGTCGAATCACGATCGCGCACGGTGCGCATGAAATTGCCATTTCAATTCGAGCTCGTAAGCCGCCTTCTGTATGGGTCTCGTTGTCCGAAACTATCGCAAAACAGTTGATCTGTCGATCAGATGAATGAATATGGTGAAGTACATGTTCAGTAGTTGATCGTACTTCCGCAGTATGGATTCCAAGGCGTCGGGCTATAGAAGAGGCCATTGTAAACTTCCCGGATCCTCGAGCTCCTGAAATAAGCAAACGTGGCCATATGCCAAATTCCGCAGCTCCTTTGAATCGAGGCGCGTCCAACAAACGAATCATTGCATCCATTGTGAAAGGTGATTCCCCTTGTTTGGCACTAGCGTTCTCTACTCGCTTGTCAACGACACGTACTCGACACCGCAAAAGCTCAAGTCCTCACGAAGTGCATTGCAGCTCGGTGGGTATAGTATGTCTTTATGTTGTATTCCGAGTTGTACGATCCTAGTATGCTGGGGTTCGACGAAACAGCCGTAGTCGCCTCGAGCAAACTGGGGATAACTGCAATACTCATCAACACCGCTAGTAGGATCGTAGTCGACTTTATCCACGACGAAGGATACCACTGCATTGCCGCTCGACAGCCTAGTGCCAGAATGAGGCAGGCTTCAGATATTGTGTAGACTAAGCTCACCGATAGATTGGGAGCTTGCTAGTGTCAAGCTTATCAGTAAGTTCTGCGTCGTCGGTATCAATGAACACATTAATTAAATCTCCTGGTTGGACCAAGCGTTTACGGGAACTGAAGTAGGATTGTATTTCATGAAGAAAAAGAGTCTCAAACTTGCGTCCGGTGGAAAACGGAGATATGATGCGAGAGAGAGTAAGAGCACGAGCCACTGGTATTGCCGGTTGACGATTACCGAAAGGGCTAGGACGAATCCACACCAGACTAGAAGAGCCTACACGGATGTTGGAAATCAGCGACGGCGAAGCCTTCACAACACCACTGACGGTCCCTTCAGATTGGAATAAGATCATATATTAAAAACATACGAAGGGACTGATTCGTAATCATGCGCAAACACCTGCACTAGCCTCGCCTGGGATGACTCGAGATCACTCATGATAGCCTGAGACAGCAAGTTTAGTTTCGCGCAAAATAAGGCAAACAACATACCCAGTCTCCATCGAGGACTCCGATCCGACGAAAATCAGAGGTTCGCAAGTACAAAGCGACATCATGGTTAAGGACATCTGCAGTCCCTCGCGAAATTGGTTGAAGACAAAAATAGGCATTCGTCGCGGCGGCTGCAGCATTCATTTACGTGAGCAAGGCATTCAAACTGGCAGACACACACTCGCCCTCATAAGGACCCTTATGTTGAGCCATGGTTGCTGGAAGTGCAGCACTGATAAGAAAAGATTCGCTGATCTCAAGTGGTTCCGAAGCTATCTCAGCATCAGATGAGTATATGCCAACAGCCGATGTACCTCCTCCGATTTCTGCTTCTTCGTCGAAACACGCGACCACAAACTGCGTGACATTGCGCTCCACAACCCCTTGAGAGTATGGATATGTGACATCAATTTTGTAGCGATGCGAACCGGGCGCCGAGGGCAGTGCTTCAGAAGCGTCGCCATTTGAGAGAAATGAAGTTCGGGGAAGGTGTAATTCTTCGCCAGTTCGAATGATTGGCGATGAGTGGAAAAGCCATTCCTCAAGGGCAGAACCGTGGGACAATGCAAAGATGTATGCATCGGGGGTTTGGGCTGTCAATACCACTTCGGAAAGTGAGACGTCTTCTGCACGGGACAGGTGCAGTTTCCGCCGGCCATTGAATGATCCAAAAATATGAGGATACAGGTCTGGCCAGTGAGATGGAACTGTGATGCACTCGATCTTATGACAATAAGCAGGTGGAACAAAACATGACATATTTAATGGACGCACATCAGGATCCTCGTTCGCCCAACAAGTCAAGCATTCCGAGTCTTGGGATGTTGATACGGTTGCGATTGAGTCGCCCGAAGATATCAGGACGAGAACACGTGAAGCCTGTGGTGTAGACAAATATGCCCACAATCGGGAGCTCAGGAACACGGTATCGCTATCAGTCTTGCTTGGAAAATCTTCGAGAGTGAACTCGTCTTCTACGCTGGGCGAGTGACGAAAGAATAAGCTCATTGAATTTGAAAGTTTGTCAAAGGAGGCTGCCTTTGGTGCCAACCCGGCTGTAACTTTTTACTGACGAACTTCTAGCTGCTTATATAATCCCATCGTTTTTATTCCTCGTACAGTGACCATGAGTCGAGGAGCAAGAGGTTTTAGCAGAGGGGGAGGTACGCCTATAATTCTTATCAAATGTCTATTTTGGCTCATTCTTCTAGGACGCGGTGGGGGACGTGGAGGATTCCAGCAACGTGATTTTGGTCCTCCGGCTACAGTCGTAGGTAAGATATCTATTACCTTTACAATTTCGCGTTACACGCCGTTTTTCAGAAATGGGGACATTCATGCATGCCGTAGAGGATGAAATGTTGTGCTCCTCTCTCATATCAGACAGGGTTCCCTACTTCAACGCCCCCATTTACCTCCAAAACAAATCTGTGATCGGCAAGGTTGACGAGATCCTGGGCCCTATCAATGAAGTTTATTTCTCAGTCAAAATGGGAGAAGGTATGGTTGCGAACAGCTTCAAGCAAGGAGATAAAGTATATATCGGAGGTGATAAATTGCTACCCATTGAGCGATTCCTCCCCAAACCAAAAGTTGCAGGTATGCTATATTCTATGAGCCTTTCCACTTCTGTACCTAATCCTTATTCTCTAGGTGTAACAAGTACGTATTCTCCTCTTTTGTAAATTCTTCCGATTTCAATGTAGATCATCTTCAGAACGTGGGCGCGGTACCGCAAGGGGCACTGGGCCACGGGGACGGGGTGCTCCTGGGGGACGAGGACGGGGAGGACGAGGGGCTAGCAGGGGTGGGGTAAGAGGTGGCTTTGGTGGCGACCGGGGCGGTTTCAGGGGAGGCTTCAGAGGAGGAAGTGGTCGTGGTAGCAGTGGAGGTTTTGCACCTCGAGGTGGAAGAGGTGGATTCAGGGGATCATGATGATAGTGCTCGTATTATGTTAGCGTCGCGTGTGTGTAGGTATCAAGGTTTCAGTGCCTTGACCTCGGTCGAAACAGCAAAAAATCTATTTGCCCGCTCACACTGCATAGAAATAGACTGCAGAGACTATCAATACAGTGAATTGGGCATTGAAAGAACTTTACCTGAGAAAGCTGAGCCGACATAGTAACAGCATTGACGAAAGTCTCTTCTATCACAGGATCAAGTTGGCTGCCTATTGGTCGGTTAGGTATGTTCCCCATTCAATGGCTACACGTACCATCCAGATCTGAAAGATATAATTCCTGATTCGCATCGATATTCATGTCAACACCACGATGCTGAGTGTATAACCCCTGAATTATGGCTTCGACTTCGATGGGACGCGTCCGACGGCTACCTCCAATTTCCCTATCCCACTTCAGTCGCTGATCGGAAAGCGACCAGATATGTCGATCAAGAGCTTCATCAAAAGGCTCCATCTCTACCATTTATAAGCAAAATTGATTCATTGTCAAGCGTGTAGCCCTCACCTTCGTCGTCATCATATGGTTCTTCGGTAGTGCGACCGTTGATACGGAGATTTGGTCTAGTTATCGCAAAAAGTGTGTCAAGAAACTGACAGATTTCAGAATATCGTGTTTGAATAAAAGTGCATTACTCACTTGATTCATGTGAGGCAGAAATATGTCCCTGTCTTGGCTGACACCCTGAGATTCAAGTTCTAAGTCCAATCTATCAAGGAAAGCAGTTGATATATTTCGCTGAAGACGTCGCCAGTCCTGTTTTGTCTCCACAGATATTTTAGGTAGATCTTCTCTGGCATCCATTTGCAGGAAGGGAAGCTAACACCGACTAATGGTAAGTGATCAAACGAGCGTTATTAGTGGTTGTTTGTCCAGTGCGCGCAAAGCCTTTAGATCCAAACAACCATCTATCGCTATACTTGGACCACAGCTCTCGCCAACCATCATGTCCACCTTGGCGTTCTGGAAGCCAGGAACTGCTGGACCTGGAAGCACACATGACAGGGCAACAGAAGAGGAAGGAAATGTTGTTCAATCTGCACCTTCGTATGGCGCCCTTTCTATACAAGCGCAGCGTGAACAATTGCCCATTTGGCAACACCGTATGTTCACTCACTATCATTGTTTTTTGACCACTACCTAACTCTATTTTCCAGGAAAAAAACTTTTGCATTGCATAGAAAAGTATGGTGTCACAATCGTTGTCGGTCAAACAGGGTCAGGAAAAACAACTCGTGAGCAATCATCAAGTTTCACGGATAATCCCAATTCCATCTCACTCCAGGCTGAGAACTACCTCAGTATCTCCTAGAATCTGGATGGGCGTCAGAAGGTAATATTATTGCCTGCACCCAACCACGACGCGTCGCAGCAACGTCTGTCGCTATCAGGGTCGCAACAGAAGTTGGTACCCTACTTGGAGATGAGGTACGTCACTAAGCTGATTTGTCTCTGCATCGCTCACGAACATTTTATAGGTTGGATATACTATTCGCTTTGAAGATGTCACCGACAAGGAGCGAACCCGGATATGCTACATGACTGATGGCATGCTCTTTCGAGAGACACTGATTGACCCTCTCCTTTCGCGCTACAGCGTGATTATGGTCAGTACTGCATTACTTTTGTTGACATATACTCAGTGCATTACCAGATTGACGAGGCGCATGAACGAAGTCTTTACACAGATCTACTGTTGGGTGTCTTGAAGAAGTCAGTCAAATATGCTTTAATCTTTTTCCTTGGGTACTTAGCTCAAATGGCGCAATTCGCAGAATTAGGCGCAAGCGCCCATCGCTTCGGTTGATAGTGTCATCAGCTACGCTGGATGCTAGATCATTCTTAGAATACTTCACTTCGGGGGCACATCCAGACGACGCCACTATTGTTAGTCTGGAAGGGCGTATGTTTCCTGTTGAGGTTGCTTACCTTCAAGAGTCCCCTTCAAACTATGTGAGGAAGGCAGTGGAAGTTGCTTGGAACGTTAACCTGCAGGTGCGTCCCCTGGCCCCTGGCCCTCCTTGCCCTTACCACAGCACCCCCTATCACGCAGCACGATTCTGGTGACATTTTGATATTCCTGACGGGACGTGAAGAAATAGAAAGATGCTTAGAGGAACTCACAGAACTTCTTCCTACGTGCGCGTTCTGTTTCCTCGTGTATTTCTTCATGCTCGTGCAAACTTTGATGTTTTCTAGACTTCCGCGAGGAGCCACACAGATAATTCCACTTGCACTGCACGCTGGCTTAAGCACGGAAGAACAGCTCAGGGTTTTTAATCTTGCAGAACGAGGGACGCGAAAGGTTATCGCCGCCACAAACATCGCTGAAGTGAGTCGCGCCATTTTTGGCAACTTGGCATCTTATGATGCAATTAGGCCAGCGTTACCATCGATGGGGTGAAGTTTGTTGTTGACAGCGGGTTCGTCAAAGTAAGTTTCATTACCTTTGGGATCGCGTTCTTATAGGCTCCAGATACGGACATACAATCCAACTACTTTCCTTGCCTCACTGTCGACAGTTCCTGTTTCCCAAGCATCTGCTATACAGAGGGCTGGTCGCGCCGGACGTACCTCGCCAGGAATTTGCTATCGATTATATCCCGAATCCGCTTTCGCCTCTCTGCCTACAAGCACGCCGCCTGAGATTACTCGCACTGATATGACCACTCCGATTCTGCAGCTGAAGTCCCTAGGTATAGATGACCTGATGAAGTTTGAATGGGTATCGGCACCTCCAGCAGAAAGCATTCTCCGCGCGCTCGAAGGGCTCTTTGCTGCAGGAATGACTGGCGACGATGGCGTCCTTACTCCGATCGGCGAACAAGTTGCAGAATGCCCCATCGAGGTCAATATAGCTAGAATGGTGCGTTTTTCTACCAGTATCTACTTTTGTCGCATGCCTTGATGCGCAGGCAGCTTTTCACATCGAAGGACTTCCATTGCGGTGAAGAAATTCTTACAATTGCTTCCATGATTTCAATACAAGTGAGTGCCTCGTTGAATTGATGTTACGATCGTATTCACCTGTTTACCCTATAGGATGCATTTGTCATACCTGATGGTGCTCCCGGAGCAATTGCAGAACTAGAGAGACGAAAATTCACGGCCGAGGAAGGCGTATGTCTCCTCTTGGTTCGCCTCGATTCAACAAGCTGACAATATTGGTCCAGGACCATTTGACCCTTTTAAATGGTATTTTCTCGTTACACCCAAAAGTTGATTGCTTACGTTTAGTAGCATATAATGCTTTTACTAAATACGGACGATCTTTATCATGGTGTAAAGCTCATGCTCTCAACTTCCGTGCCATGTCTAGAGCGGTGTCGATTCGGTCCCAGTTGAAGAAATACATGATTCGCTTTAACTTACCACTCCAAAGCTGCGAAGGTGATGCTAAACGGCTTCGGCAATGTTTGGTCAGTGGGTATTGGCGCAACGGTGCCCGATGGGTTGCAGATGGAACGTACCGGTCGGTGAAGGGAAACAAGGTAAGCAATGCTACTAAATGTGCGACATTCACTATTCACTCAAGCAGACTCTGTACGTTCACCCGACATCTGTGCTTTTCACTCGGAAGCCGCGGAGTGGATGGGTGGTCTTCCACGAAGTGGAAGAAACCAAGAGAACACAGTATGTCTAGTTACTTGTATGAAGGGGCCGTAAACTTCATATTTTGTTAGGATAAGGGTACTCTCAGAAATAGAACCAGATTGGTGAGTCAAATTTCTCCTCTGTGATTCTGTACTCAGTCAACTGGTGAAGGCTACTTGACTATGGTCATAAATACCAACATAAGTATGCTGCAGGTTGATTTGGTGTGGATGGCGCTGGTTCTGGTGGTCAGTCAATTTTGTCGTTCTACTGTTGTGCGGTAGCATGTTGAAGGTGTTGCGCTGACAAGAGTTGGAGCTACTATCGATAGTTTGTCGATAGTAATCTACATTTAAAACTTGCTGAGCTTCCGTTGGCCCAAGTTGAAAGTCCGAAACGCCATAAAAAATTAAGCGCTAATAATACTGAAATATCCTGAAATCCTTGTCAATCATGGGCGCTGGCCAGTCCAAAGCGGACACAGAAGAAAAGGTCTTTTACAATGAGACGCCCATACAGGTTTGGTCTCCTTCCTATCCTAAAGGCTAGTCTCCTGAAGTTGTGTGTGTAATGTCAAGTTTTCGCAGGATGTCGTGAACCACCTTTCAGATCTTTCAATGTCACCCGACACCTCGCCAGAACGGCAATCTACACTTGATGCCCACGTCCGTTCTCGCATACAAGCGGAGCTGCAGCATCTACAAGCGGAAGAGCAAAGTGTACAGAAGGAAATTGAACTCGCTCTTGAAAGGGAGAACATTGACCGGGAGAAGTCCTTGGCAGGCGGAGAAGTCGCCGAGGGCGATATCAAGAATAGCACGATGTTGATGGGGGATCTTGAAGAGATTCGTACTAAGGTGGACAGGTTCCAGGCCAGGAGGCAGCTTAGGGATTATCCTGCGGTCAAGGAAAGCGGTGAAGCAGTAGTATTATGCTATAGGTGGGCCTATGTCACCTGTTAATTTCATCGTCCTGAGGTCACTCATTTGTCACTTCCATAGGCAAAATCCTACTGCGCCCCTGGACTGCTGGCGAGAAGTACGGGAATTTAACGCTAGTGTAGCTCAAGCGGAATCGGTAAGCAAACTGATCCTGAGGTTCGGTTCCCAACTCACTGTCCTGCATACACCTGCCAGCAACATCTCGCTTCTCTTCGGTAGGGACTGTCAAGAGCCAAGACCCAGGACACTTATAGCACGGTCCATGAGATATTTCATAGGAGAGACCAGTAGTATGTAAATTCTATGCTATGGGTAGTACCATTGATTCCATGATCCAATCATTCACCCTCTGAAATATTTAGTCCAAAAGTCCCTTGGCAGCACCAAGCCTTTCATGGTTCATCATGATTCTTCACCCCCATATGCTACTCCAATCGAATCTGTTGTTTGTGCCCCCTGCTGCAAGCACAATGACCCGGCACTGATATTTGAAACCCGGTGTAATTGGGCAATGTTTGCATTGACGTGCTGCAGCCTTGAGCTAGGAACTACCAACTCTGTCTGCTCTTCACCAATGGTGTAGGGGTCGGAACTATGACCAAGTCTTGAAAGGTGTCTAGTGCCACCTAAAGCTGCTGTTATGACAGCTGCAGGCACGCGCACTTGGTGATCCTCATAAGTCTGGGTGGCCTGAGAATATATTGAAGCAGTGCTGATGCTTGATTTATGAGACAACCTGTTTGAAGCCCAGGCAAATGATGACCTGCTTCCACGTGCGAGACTCTCCTTGAATTGGCCCGAAGGACGTCGCAAAGCACGAGCTGGATTCCGTGGGGGTTTTATTGGGGGTGGTGCAGCCATGCTCAAGGAGGGAGGTGTGGGAGGTGATATAGCGGCTAGTGTGTTTGGCGATGGATGTGCAAAACTCTTCTTCCCGTCTGTACCGTCCGGACTGCTCGAGGGGCCACCTGCCTCGTTTGGTTTGTTTGGAGTATGTCTCCTGAGAACATTTTGCTGTTGAGCACAATGAATGACAAAGATGACATAAGGTGGAGAATTACATGGAGCATACCCTTCGCGAGCGGCACTTTTTGTTGGGTTGTCTGACGATCAATGACCACCATTTCCATCCAATTGTCACTGCCACTGCAAGCGCAATCCCCGCGGCAGTACCGCCGACGACTGCTGGGATGGAGATTGCTGCAGCATGTTCGGTATTTGTGGTAGGAGTTGTTGCTGCGCTAGAATTTGTTACATCGCTAATAATGCTGGAAGTGAGGCGAATGGCCACGTTAACATTGCCAATGAGTGAGGGCATGAAGGGAACCGAAAATTGCTAGCGACTGAGCATGCCGCCCTTGTATAACGTCGTACTAGACAAGGTCCCACAAAGGGCTAATCCACGTAAGGTGACGTTCACGAAGAATAGATGTACAAACGTGTTAGGCACGAGGCGTCTAACTCCCTGATCATTGTCACTTGGTAAGTCGAGACAAAACGTTCACTGAGGAGACTTTCTTCACGGTACCGTTCCAAACAGTTTGCCAGTCGAACAATCTCACAAACTACTAGTAGTCTCCCGCGATGTCCTGGTAGTGTCACCAGCTGTGAGCACCTGATGCATATTTTTAGTGCGTTGTATACCCATGCCTACACCGTGAGCCCAGGTTATTTATGTAATCTAGAGTCGAAATCAATCAATTTATTTCTGACGCAACCCCGGACTCGATTCGCGCGAGTCGGAGTTTGATTTCAGCCGCTGTACAGTCGTGTTGGAGTTGCGTTGGTCGTTACTTTGAGAGTCACCTCACTCTTTTGGTGCTAGTATGCACGTTGTCTGAAGGCCTAAATGTTTGTCCACAATCACGACACAGTACCTACTGCAAGGGTGATCACGGTTAATTTCGGTCAACCAAAAATAACCAATAGTCCGGAGGGAGCGTACCTGTACCTAAGCTCGGCAACCTGCGTTAATTGAACTATTTGTTTCCCTCCCTTTTCGGATATTGGGATAAGGCGATACATGCGAGGATAACGCCTAGATACCCGTGAGTACAAACAGATTTAACCGTTAAAATATAAAAAAATAAATGCATCTATAAGTTCATACTTGACCATAGTAAATCACTCTACTAGCCCATTTTATTAAATTAATTATGTATAAAGATTTAAAACAAATTGGTTGTTCTGTATTTTGTTGTTTGGTATAATAATCGGTTATTTTTATGATTGCCGTCTTCGGCAATTCGACTTCTTTCTGCCGCCCGGCTTTATTTGCAACAGATCCCACTGCGACTGTGCCCTTCCCCATCTCTCTCCGCCTCATCGATATCGCTGTGTATCACTACTTCCAGTTGTTCTTCCTCCTACCTCTATACTTCACCTTTCCCTCTATTGTATGTGGAGGTATCTCCTCGTCCTCTTTGCTATTATTTTAACCTCTCTACACCTTAATTTCAGTCTAAATTAACCGGACTTCCCCGGTCGATAAAGAGACGCCGAGTCACCGTTGACGTTGATAACCGTATCGACTTCAAGTGGGAATGCAAGGCACTTCAGAGTTTGTAGACGAGCAGTCAAGAGCAGCGTAAGGCATCCTATGACGGCAACCTGGTCAATCAAGAATGTTTACCAAGCCTCACTCCAGCTCAAAAGCGCCTATCGTGCGCAATCCGAGAGCATGCACCGTTTGTCGGGCAGCGAAGGTGAGTAGTCGGCTGCTCAAGAGAAAGAATTCATATCTGAATCAATCATAGATGAAATGCGTCGGGGCAGAGGATGGTCTCAAGTCTTGTCAGAGGTGCACAAGAACAGGTGTGGAGTAAGTAATGAATTGTTCCGATAGTCCGCCAAGACATTAATATCTTTTCTGTAAGTTGTGTCTTTGAGAAACATCGCAGAGGGCGAAAACCTGGATCAAAGTTAGAGTGTTTCTCTTGCTTTGCCTACTGCTTCTCACAACATCCAAAGGCTATCCGAAGCCTCTAAAATGCTCCGACGCTTAGAGAAAGGATTGAACACAGCGAAACTCAAGCAAAGTGATTCATCGTTGTCGACAGTATTCCCCGCCGACCCCCGTACTCCTCAGTCAGATAACGCTCAGTTTGGCGGACTCCAGTCCTCTGACGCTTATGGTTCCGCTGGTAATTTATTACATGCTACAAGAGTACAATGTGACTCAAAACACATCATCATAGACGGATATGCAGCTTCAAGCGTCAGTTCGCGCACTGTTGATCCAGAGGAGGAAGAGGACGGAGAAAGAAGCGACGAGAAATTTCCTGCCAAATTAATCAAAAGGGAAAATTCCTTTTTCAGGACCATCCTCAACCCAGAACACAAGTCGCCAATGCTTCCTGTGCCTCGAAATCCTTACCTCCCCCAGTCATTGCGCCCGGCGCCTCTCCCGATCGGCTACAACGATCCAATCACAGCCGGCTTAATCAACGAAAACAAAGCAAAGATCCTCTTTGATGCAATCTTCCTTCGACTGAATCCATTTATAAATCTTTTCGATCCAGCTTTGCATTCTGTTGCCTATGTGCGATCTAAATGCCCTTTGTTATTTACTACCTTGATAATGGCTGGCTGCAAATTCTTCGAACCAAGCTTATACAAGGAATGTCTGAGGCTTGCTAATGACCTTGCAGTCCGGGCATTTGCAGAAGGTTGGAAACGAGTAGAAGTGATCCAGGCATTTTCATGTCTGACTTATTGGAGAGAACAAGAGGACAACGTGAGCATATTTTGGACTTGTCTTAACTTGCTCAAGCTCAATCTCATCGAAGCGGACATGGATGTATATTGGATATGTGAGCGCTTCAGAGTTCATCGATCTCAAATCGATTGTCTGATTTTGTTAAGGCGTGTCGGATGGCTGTGGAACTTGGCCTCAACCGATATCATGCAAAACCTCCCGCTCATGAAACCGACTTCCAACTTCGTGAAAGGCGGAACAGAGAGAGGACATACCTCGTTCTCTTTGTGCATGACCGGAGTCTCAGCATGCAGACGGGTCGGCATTGGATGCTTCCTGAAGTAAATCCTTTTTATTTTCCCGAAAATGACAGTTCACACTCTCTGCAGGATGACTTCATAAGGCACTCTGACACCTGGCACGAGCAGGGTGGAACACCCATTCGATGCGAAGATGTCATCGTTTCTGCTTTCGCACAACTCCGTCGCATAGCGGTGAGACCTATTTCTTCAACACCTGCGTGATAGAATCCAATGGTATTAGACCGAGGCTACAGACATGTTCCACACCAACCGGAGTCTTTCGGACGGTGGAAACAGTCAAGTTAATATCGATATGGTGCTGAAAAACTGTAATGCAAAGCTTGCACTGTGGACCACTACCTGGGACCAAGAGATGAGAAAAGGTGACGAACATAATATCTCCTATTTTGACGCATGATCTCATTCATATCTCGCTGATAGCTAATGGAGAGTCGTTCCACTTTTCCTTCACCAGTCTTTTTTGCCTCTATTCGAGCCTTTTCTTGAATAGTTTCGGTGTTCAATCTAGCGTCCCACCCGTAAGTCTACAATTTTTTTTCAAACCATCGTTCCCATACCTTTCCCCTCAGGCCAACCGAACGAATAGTCATGTTCGCGCCTTATCTGCGTGTTTTGAAAATGCGTTGAATGTGCTGGGAATTGCATCCAAAGACTTTAGGGAATTTGGTGTTTTGGTAAGTCTTACTTTAGCGCAATTCCCACTAATTGACACTTCATGTAGCGCTACGGACAAGAGACGACCTCCGTTATGACTGCATACTCTGCTATATTTCTATTGAAGGTAATAAATGTGCTGCCTCCAAATCTGAGTAAAGTTGATGCGTCGGCCTTAGTTACTCCGCAGCTCTAATACTCACACAGACTTGCAATCAGAATTACCGGAGGGTGCAGCTCATCAGATTCATACTGCGATCACGAAAACAGCCGATGCGTATCAGGAAGCTTCTCACCTGTCGCCCACCTCAACATCAGCTGCCTACCACGCTCGGTTTCTGTGGAGTCTTGTTCGCAATGATATAGAGCGGGCTCGACAAAACGCTCAGAAAGACATTCCCATTGACCCAAACATTCAAAGTCAGTCGTCTACATGCTATGCAGTGTATATTTGTTGACACTTATTGTTCATTCATTAGGTCCATATACACCAACTGGTCCATGCGCACCCGAGCAATATGCATGTTCATCCTCCTCTTCCTTACTGTCATATCCTGCGTATCCGACGCAGAATTCTGACATGAATGGTCAAAATGCACCTTGCGGAGGACCTAACTATACGGATGCGTTAGGCCGTGTTTCTGGCTCGTATGGCCCTTCAGGTCAATTGACGGGTTATAACATCGGGCATGTCTCAGAAACCGACTTTCATTACTACCGCAGTATGTTGGTCGAGCTTGGTTTTGGAGAGAACGGTACTACTGTTCCCGCTAACGACGGTTTCCGCAACATCGCCTACGGAGACACATCGACTTCTTATTCCCAGAATCCATATGTACACATAGCACCTATCAGCCAAAATGGTTTTGGAAGTAATTGATAGGACCTTTGCTTATCTTGCACTTATCCTCATACACGGAATTTCCTAGCAGCACCTCAGTACAGCAGTAGTATTGGTTTATGAATGACTTCATCCTCTATTGAAATCTCACTCAACGCCGATGGGGAAAACAACAACTTCTACACCGTATGCAATCGCAAGCACTGGATTACCCCTTCTAGCCATAAAATCAAAATCCCGGACACGATGGGGGCGTGGAGCAATGTTAATAACGTGAGGCTGTGCATGAACATAATTCATGTCGTGAATGTGAATGACAGCTCCTTTGGTTGGGCACTGGGACGCAACAGCGAAGTAATCCGGACTCGTCGGGCACCATCTTGTAGGCCAATGTGAGGGTCTCGATAATTAAAAAAAGTCGAGCAAAACCGTACCGAAATTGGTGACCACCTTCAGGAAAACTTATACCTGTTTGTAAAGGTTTTCCACCCTGGGACTTGGACAAGTCCCATATGGAAAAGCGGGAACCGTAAGTGGCCCCTACGCTAGATAAAAAATAAAATCAGCTTCAAGTCGAGCTCAAAATCAATTGTGCACCGACATGTCGATGTTATCTTGACGCCAAGCTGCAAAGCCCGTCCACTGTGATGAAATGCCCATCAATGACTTGGACAACCCGTGTGGTTCAACAAGCTCAATAACACTAGAATGCCTCCAGCTTCCCTGCTCACTTTGCTCTAGATCAGACCTCCAGTCCGTCAAGAAGATAGAACCTCGGCAGTCTGATACGAGAAACTCTTTGCTGCTGAATTGGTGACAATTTACAGTGACAAGCGGGTGGGGAAACGAAATCACATATGCAGTTGGTTGAGGACGGGGATGAGGTGACGACGACGCGTTGGTACCCATTGACCTCTCTGGAGAAGGTATTCCAGAAGAAATATCCAGTGCCGGATGTAGATCCCAAACCATCAACATTTTGTCATCTGGGTGAAAGATTTTAGTGTTCATATTTATGCAACTTGAACGAGTGATGCACCTGCCACGGTCGCGACATATCTCGCATTGTCTTGATCACGTCCTCCACAAAAGCACATATCATTGACTTTGCCATGGTGTCCGCTGAGACCACCACCAAACGCAAACATGTTCTCGGAAGATGTTGAAGATTTTGTCAGCAGGTGAAGACTGAAGTCTGAGGCAGCAGCAGTGATTCTGAGACAGCGTCAGTCTCATGCTCTGTGGACAATGAGGAGTGTAGGACTGCCTTACTCAATAATCCAGTCATCACTTGAACTAGGTGAGATTGATCGAGGCGACCACGCTAGAGCTGTTATGCGTCTCCCAATATGAAAAGACGCTACCCTTTCACTAATGGGTGGGCTCTTGACAAGAAAAAGACATGATCAACGGATTGGCTCATATAGCTTGGGAACGCACATACTACACGGAAGATTTCTACTGAATGCTCGCCTGCAATAGCCAACAAGTCCGCCCCGTCGTCATTAGAGCATGCACGAACAACAAAAACGTCTGATCCATGATTGATTCTTACTACTCCACTATCCATGCTCATTGAATGTGTGATGAATGGATTCGCTTTCTGCGAAGGTTCACAGTACAGCTGCCAGCGAAACAGAAGTTTTGTACCGCCAACCCGTTAATCACAGTGCGGTCTTGCCGCATGCGGCATGCGACGACTCGCGGAGGACCCCAGCAGAAGTTCCCGCGCTAAGTGCATCCATACAATATATTCAAAGTTCTGCTAAGGTGTATGGCAATGGCTCATAGCAAGCTTGTTACTGCCTTACTCCGTGCGAGAGGGACACCAGTGCTTAACTCCAAATTAAAGGCCGAGGGGCGATGCGCCTATTGGAGCGCAGTGAGACAGGTAGATGTCGCAGAATTAGTACGCAACGATCGTTAACCCAATTTCCGTTCTGTTTGACAATGAGTTCAAGCACGCACCGTTGAATAAACTATGCCAGTGATAGAACAAAAAACATATCTTGAAGAAAGTCTATCGTACGAGATGTACTTCTGACAGCAAGTTGTTTTCGACCAAGATACCTCCTGAAATTGGAATAACTTTGCTTGACATTAGACGTATACCAAAAAATCTGCTCCATCGGCTGGTACTGCTGCCCTGCATGCTGCCCTTCCGCCTTTTACAATTGAGAATATGGCTCCATCTGAGCATAGAAGGTGGGCCTTTTCATCGACGTCATCCTACTCGATATCAGAATGCGTATGACGATCAGGCGGGGAAAACTCACAGGTGTCCATTCCCATCCTTTGCACCGGATATATTCTACCACAGTGGGACCAGTCCCTTCAGTGGTTACCTTTCCATCCTCGGTGTATTTCAAGTTGATATGATTCCCATCTTGGTATGCTGCAGTTAATACGGCAATTGATTTCTCTGCAAAGGCATTTCGAGCTTCTACGCTATCCATGACAAAGGTGGGATCACGCTGAGGTCGAATCATGACAAGGTCTAGCGAGACCTCCGACGAAACAAAGTCAGACGCAAGAGGGGTGATTCTGAAAGCAGGTTCCAAACGATCGACATTGACCGTAGAAAGAAAGTATGCGAATGGGCCATACACATCCACGATGCCTTGAGCATCCGAATCTTTGTGAATTACGAAAGTCTTTTGGTCTGGATCGTATATCTCCACAGCCTGAGATGGGGTAGGCAAGAGCTTGACATGGCTGCTGTACCATTGTGTAATGTTGTTCCTCGCAGCAACTTTGAATCTTTCGATGCCTGGCACTTCTTTCCTCAGACTCTCGGAGTCATGGAGGATAGAGGCGTGCAAAGCAGTAGAGGTCACTACCGCTGAAACAGCGACCTGGGAACAACATTGCTTTGAGTTCGGTGGGGAAGACAAGGTCGTGACAGCTAGTGTGAGGGGAACAACATTGGGACCTCTGATGAATGCTTCAAGAGACTTCAGCTTGTACGCTGAGCCCTCATTCATGGAGGTTGGCTTGAATAACGAGTAGTAGAGAGCGTTTGCCGTCCCGCATGGAACAAGAACTAAACGAACTGAGGGTGATACGGAATTCTTGCGCACATCCTTTAGTATCACGGGTGAGAGAGCGTTAATGATTTCGTGCAATGTTCCATCGCCGGAGCCCAATATGACTGTCACGTTGCCCTCATATCGTTCGAGGAACTCGAACGCTATGGTACCTGCATGTCCAGCGGCTCCAGTTACCATTTTTTGGGTAACTTGGATATGCGCTTCCTCGAGACGAGGAAAGACATGTTCATTGAAAAAGGCCTCGGCAGTGCCATCTCCACATACAGGATTGTACATCACTAGCAGCGGACAACTCGCCATAGTGGTCTGATCAATATGTAGTCAGTGACTAATCCTATTTACAAGCTTGGAATCAGCACACAGACCTGAAGATGTTGTTGAAGTAGTCAGGCCTTCTGGAATCTAAGGACGAGTTATCTTGGAGGACACACGGCCCCACCGGGCCGAGGCCAGCGACGAGACTCGGAGAACCTGGAGTGCTGCTGTCATCTGCCGCATGTACAAAATGGCTTCAGTCGCTCCTCCTGTCTTCAAACCATTTACGCTCACGCTTATCCAGCTTGGTTCCATTGGCTTTGACAAGGCGGCCAATCTTAAGCATGCTCGCGAGATGATCATGAAGGCAGCAAAGGGCAATTCAGACAAGAAGCCTCAAGTCGTTGTGTTGCCGGTAGAGGGTCAATTTTATTTCACCCAACTCTATCTCATTTTTTTTTGTTTTTGTTTTTAGGAATGTTTCAACTCGCCGTATGGCTTTGTTCACTTCCCCGCGTACGCTGAGAACATTGGCTACACTCCTGGCAAGGAGTATGATATTCAAGCGAGTGTGAGCGAAAGTGTCAGGATGTTGTCTTCTGCTGCGAAGGAGGCGGGAATCTGGCTCATCGGAGGTCATACCCCGCTGAAACGTGTGGCAAAGGGGTAGAAAGTTCATATTTTGTTTAACAGGTTCGATACCCGAGAGAGATGTGGAGACGAACAACATCTACAATACCTGCACTGTGTATTCTCCGACAGGTGTCAAGTTCCCTGAAATTTGCTCCAATCAACACTGACGTACGTGGGTGGAGGTGCACTTGTTGCATCACATCGCAAGGTTCACCTGTTTGACATCGATATCCCTGGGAAGATAGCATTCAAGGTATGTCTTTTAATAGTTATCGCTTTAGCGTTTTTTCTGGATCTCATTGTATCTGCAGGAGAGCGAAACATTGACAGGCGGAACGACGACAAATTATTTTGACACCAGTACGATTCTCATTCAAAGTGCTTGTGTCACACCTGATGAAATTCGTCTAAGAATTTGCACGTATCGGCCTCGGTTTGTGCTACGACGTCAGGTTCCCAGAACTAGCGATGATTGCGGCACGGCGAGGTTCGTGGTTATTATACATTTTGCATGAGGAACGAAAAACGCACAACCTCTCAAGGTTGTCATGCCATAGTTTATCCTGGGGCATTTAACCTCACCACTGGACCTTTGCATTGGGAACTGCTTCAACGAGCCCGGTAACGTGTTGTCCAACTGTGCTCGATAGTTCCTGACCCAGCCTCCAGAGCCAATGATAACCAAGTTTACTTTTCCATGTGCAGCCCAGCACGGGATATGACCGCTGGGTACCATTCAGTAAGTGAACCGCCATATCAACTATGTGACCAAGAGATCTGGACTATCTCTATAGTGGGGGCACTCGATGGTCGTTGACCCATAGTGAGGCATATCCTTTAACGTACCCTGATCGTACCAAAGCAACTTTCAGTGCCCGTGTACTCGCGGAGGCTGATGAGAACGAGACAATCCTGCATGTCGATATCGGTGAATCTTGATATCGTTCTCGTTATTTACAAGTTGCTGATGTGATACGGGATTTAGATCCCGAACCATTTCACGAGGTAAGAGCTGGAATACCAGTTACAAAACAGCGTCGCTTCGATGTCTATCCAGACGTGAGCGCTTGATAAAGTATGAAGAGCGTAGGGCGACAAAGCTGTCAACGTAACTATGTAGTCTTTTGATAATCTCAATGCCATGTCTTTCGAACAACGAGGAACGTTAAAGCAGCAAGCATGAATCATGATTCCCCGACTACGATCGTAGTAGAAGGACTTTAGATACATCGAGCTGTACCTAGTACATCAGCATGAGCTCGAGCCTGCAATTCAATTGATGACCGTCATCGACAATCTTGGCAAGGTGGCAGTGAAAAAGATCGAAAAAAGACCGCTTCCATTTTGAGCCGGCACAGCTAGATCTAGAGAAAATTCTGGTAGGTTCCACAGGATTCCTGAGCGCGGGTGGAATCCTTAGAAAAGTGAACAGCGTCCACTTCTGTGCCAACCACATCCCTGTCTTCTTGTTACCCTCCTTCCGTCATGGTCAAAGAAACGTGCGGCTAGTGATATTCAAACCAATTTGTATGCTAACACTCAGTGCAGGAAGTTTTATGATCTCCTGGAAGTTCCAGTAGATGCTTCAGAGCCTGATTTGAAGAAGGCATACAGAAAAAAGTGAGATAAAAATCATGGCGAGTCTGAATGTCATTGACTCATTTCACAGAGCCTTGAGACTACACCCCGACAAAGGTGGTGATCCAGAACTCTTCAAGGAAGTTACACATGCGTACGTCTTACATTGCATGTCCAGGTTTTTATTGTCTCATTTTGTAGATACGAGATTCTTTCCGACTCTCAAAAGCGTAGTATATATGATGCTCGAGGTGAAGCTGGTCTTTCCGAGCAAGGTGGAATGGGTGGGATGGATCCCCAGGTAACGCCTTGGTCGACATCAATTGTGTCATTAGACTAATTTGAGACCCTAGGACCTTTTCAGTCAATTGTTTGGCGGCGGCGGATTCTTTGGTGGTGGCGGCGGCGGCGGAAATCGCCAGCAGTCTGCCCGCAAGACCAAGGACCTTGTACATCGCGTAAACGTCACGCTTGAGGATCTCTATAAGGGCAAAACAACCAAACTTGCCCTTACTCGTAATGCACTTTGCTCCAAGTGCCACGGTCGCGGTGGGAAAGAGGGCGCTGTGCGATCATGTTCTTCATGCAATGGACGTGGCATCAAGGTCACGTTACGCCAGATGGGCCCCATGATCCAGCAGATACAGTCCGCCTGTGACGAATGTTCGGGTACGGGAGAGGTGATCAATGCCAAGGATCGTTGCCAGCAATGCAAAGGCAAGAAAGTCATGCCTGAGAAGAAGATTTTGGAAGTGCACATAGACAAGGGTATGAAGGGTGGCCAGACGATTGTGTTCAGCGGAGAAAGCGATCAGTCGCCAAACGCCGAGTCAGGAGATGTCGTTATCGTCATAGAAGAGAAACCTCATGACCGCTTCAAACGTCAAGAGACCAATCTCATAACGGAACTGGAGATAGATCTATTGACAGCCCTTGGCGGTGGACGAGTTGGGATTCGTCACCTCGACGATCGCGCCCTTATTGTAAATTTTGTTCCTGGCGAGGTTGTCAAAAACGGTGAGCATTCCTGAAAAGCGCGGTGATAAACATGACGCTGAGATCTGCGGCAGATGCTGTCAAAGTCATACGCGGCCAGGGAATGCCCTCTCAGCGACATCATGAGCCAGGAGATCTGTTTGTGAAGTTCACTGTGAATTTCCCTGAGCATATCGATCCAGCTGTTATCCCCTTACTTGAGAGGGCACTCCCACCACGAACAGAGATCGAGAAATTCCCTAAGAATATTCATCTCGAGGAGGTGGATCTAGACGAGCCCGACGCGCGATCAAAGGCAAATGCTATGTCAGATGAGTCGATGGAGGAGGACCATGAAGGAGAGCCTCGTGTTCAGTGCGCAAATCAGTGATTTGTGCATGTCGATTAGCATGATTAGCATGATATTTGTTGCGCTAGAGACTGGCATTTGTTGTTACACTCGTTACATTTAATACGCATTTTCATTTCATTGACACTTTCTGGGTTAGCACTTTGCATTACTGAGGAATGTCCCATCGAATCTGAGTTTGACGACGATGAGAAGGAAGGACTTCATCAAGATGAGGGGGGATTGTACTTCGGGATTTTCCTTGTAGGCACTGTAGGCTACGTGATTAAAGAAGCTGATCTCTGTCTCGTTTTCTAGCGCGCGACAATTAATAAATCAGCTATATCTATACACTCAAGGACTTACCAATGCCAAGTTCAGCTAGGGTACAGGTGTCATCGTCGAAAATCCAGTCATCATGGTCCATATTGATGATCAGATTGGTCGTCTGACAGGGGTTTCAGGCCAGTCCTAAAAAATGTACGGTTCGGGGACCATACCTTCGCACCGTGAGCTTTGGTGTACAGCTTGAGTGTATCTGTGCCAGAATTTTTGAACATCCTCCTAACGGATGCCGTAGTGCTAACCTAGGTGCACGTTCCGATACGGCTTCCATCCTGAACCAGTCTGAATAGCTGCAGCAAGGGATGAAACAAGTTGGAAGATGCTAGACAGCGTGGCATACCTCGCCGAGCCATATCCTTGAGCTCGCCAACTGTTGTGATTTCAAGGTTCAACATGTGTAAGACGAGACTGCGTTCCGTGCGGTATTCGAAGGATTTGATTACCCGAAGAGTTATAGTGGCCTTGGTTTTTGGGAGAGCAACGTTTGTGAGCACATCAGAAATTTCATGAGACATCTTGTGAGTACTGGAAGAGTTCGAAGAAAGAAACAGTTCACAGCGTCAGCTAGTCAGTAAAGTATGATGTGATGTACTGTATCGGGCCTAACTTGAATCCAATTGGACTACATCATAATAGCAGTCACCTCCAATGTCCGAGAGTGTCCTCAGTACAGCATCAGACGGCCTTCAATCCCTAAAAGATCCACGGACTCTTACTTCTCTCAATGAAATACTATCATGCTTGTCGTGGTATCAATCCGCTGAAACAGAACTCTCAAACTCACTGACAGCGCTTCTCTCGAATCGTCAATCTATCGACAAGTCACTCCAGCAGTTAGAGGTTCTTGTTCCGTGTCTCGATGACCTTCAAATTGAAGCAACAAACTTCTCAATCAAAGTCTCAGCTACTGCGCAGACAGCAGAACGCGTGGGTGGACGTGTACGTTCGCTTGACGAGGAAATGAGACGCGTTGGGGAGGCTGCTGAGCGGGTTGGACAAGTCATGGAACTGAAAGTATGTCTTCCAATGTTGTCCGTCCACATTTAGATCTCACCGATGCTGTCATGTAGTCGTCCCTCGCTCAATTACAGTCTTGTATCGAAAATCAAGACTGGGAGTCGGCCGCCAGATGTTGCGCGCGCGCCATGTCCTTACCCTCTACAATCATTTCAGGACCCTTTGCACAGTCTGTTGTTGTGAGTAACCATTCCAAACATTCCAGACTCTTCTCACCGACATGAGCAGCCTACAGCTGAGAGTCACCTGCCTCCAGCGCAGACCCTGCAGGCTGCACGAGAACGACTTTTATCTATTTTCAGGAGTCACTTCGAACAAGCATCTCGTGCGCGAGATGCTGCAGCCACGACTCGTTATTTCAAACTCTTTCCTACTATTGGTTGGGAGGCAGAAGGTCTCGAGGCCTATGCATCGTTCGTGGTCGATCTTGTGCGAGTGAGAGCTCCAACTTCAGCCAAAAGTACGCTATATCAGGCTTGGAAAATAATCACATTTTCACATCTCACTTAGCCTCCTCACCTCTGTACTTTGTAACTGCACTTACAGCACTGCTCGAAAGCGTTGCCATGATAGTTGACCACCACCAACCAGTCGTCGACAAATATTATGGGGCAGGTAAGATGACGATCGTCATCATACGCTTGCTCGATGAATGCGACCGTGTTGTGCGGCTTACATTGGATAGTTGGAGAGAAGACAGGTCAACAAAGAGAAAGGTGAAGTATTAAATCCATGCGATCAGATGACGATTTTGAGACTAGGGCCTAGTAGCTTCTAGATGTCTCTAACTCTTCCTTCTCCATCGCACCTGCCCGCAAGCAATCATCCCAAGTTTCATCCCAAGATGACGATGGGTTGGACCCTCGCGAGATAGACAAACTCTTATCTGAAATTGCAGGTATGAGCGGTCGATGGTTTCTTTTCCGTAAGTTTCTCGTAGAACAAGTGCAGGTGAGTATATCCTCGCTCATCCAAAACCCCTGTGAAGCTTACAATGCCAAGGATGAAGATGTTGACGAAAATGCCCAAAGCGGCCGGGTCACTCCTGTTTCACGAGGTCCTAATCATGAAGAGTATCAGTCACAGATCAACGATAATTCAAATGCTGGGGGCTCTGGCATTCAACCAGATCTACTACAACTCCTGGAATCCAGTCGCTCTCATCAAGAGTTCGATGAACTTCTCGTGACTTATTATGTTCCGATGGAGACGTGGTATATGCGTACTATCATCGATAAGGTATTTGTTCTCTGACACATCAGTACATCGAACTGAACTGTTCTGGAGGCTCACCGATTATCGTCTCCTGACTTTTCGCAATCACCTGTCACTACTTCAACGCCAGACGATGTATTCTACATTCTCAAGACAGTGTACTCGCGAGTTCTGTCTGCGGGCTCCTACAGGCATATTGAGCGAATGACTGATCTCTTGAAGGACTGTATGGATCATGATTATGCTGGCGGCATCAAGAAGAAGCTTGATGATGTTTATCGAACGGCAGCGAATGCTGGCGGTAGCGGACGTGGGGAGAAGTCTGAACGAGAGTGTCGCACATCGTTCATCGTAGGTACCTTCCTGTTGACTAGGATTTCGCACTGACACATTATGTACAAGATTCTCCTCAATGACCTTGATCTATCTTCTTCACACATGGAGCGATTGACGAAAGACCTTCTTAGTCACCAAACCATAACACAACTTTTCCTGGATGCAGAACAGCCACACGTGAAAAGGGTAATTTCCACTTTAACAGGATCTGTAGCTAAGTTCCGTTCGGCGCTGAAAGTGTGTACTTGCTTATTCTCACCGAGGATCACTTCGCCGAACTAGACTTTAGGCAGGCGTGGAGCAGCTTTTTAACCAGCTAATGAGACCCAAATTACGCACCTTAATTCCAGACGTGTTTAAAGACGTATCATATGTACTCGACGAAGACTCCTATAATGCCGCAGAACAACACGATGTAGTTCGGAAACGGTTTGTTAAAACGTGGGAGGGATTGGTCGATGGGTACAAGGTCATCCTTCCGCCACAACCTCTAGGGCATACATTGATATTTGTACAGGATGCGTTCACGGACAACAACTACCGCATGTTGTTTGGGTTTGCACTCGATGTCGTCGCTCGACCCTGGGAGAAATATATTTTGACACTACATTTCTCTGAGGTAGGCATTATAATTCTCTGTGCTCACCTTGAAGGTGACGTTAGTACAGCTGGGTGCCGTCCGTTTCGACCGTGACCTTCGATCAATAATGGCCTATCTCTCGTCTCAAACGATCTTTGGGGACATCCGGGAAAAGTTTGTGCGTTTGCAGCAGATCAGTTCGTTACTAAACTTGGACAATGTGAGTAAACTTCTGAATCGAATATCATTCCAGTCATCAACTTGCTCTTTAGGAAGAAGAAGTAGATGGCTTTTACAGTGGATCAGGCATATCCTGGACTTTCAGTTTACAGGACGCAAAAAATGTCGTGGCATTGAAGGTATAGATTCACGTAAAGCAAAACATATATATATTCCATGATGGGATAGCTAGGCAGTCGACGAGAATGTGTGAAAGTGGATGGCAGGATGTATGAGTCGAAGGTTACCCTCGTCTTAAAGCGTCTAATCTTGCTTGGAGGCTATCTTCATCCGACGGGCCACCCCCTGCCGTGTCGTCACCTTTGGGAAAGCCACTTCCGCCAATCGATTCTCCCAATGCTACCGGTCTGCGTTCTGTCAGTGGTGATGATATTGAACCCAGACCAGTAGGTGCATCCGTGAGCTGCGGATGAAAGTAGGTGAATATATATGAGATAGGGATGACGCCATAATTACCTGCTGAGAAAGGTTGACGCCTATTTCGTCAAGAACCTCTCGTAATATCTTATCACCTTCTTCCTCTTCATCCTCAGCATCATCCTCCATAACATCGTCCACAGCGTCCGACATCATTTCTTCCTTCATATCCATCATCGAGCTTTCCTTTTCAAACTCATTCATGATCTTCTGGATGGCTGGGAGGTTCAATCCTCTGTTCATGGACGCCATGGCCTGTAAAAGGTGTCAATGGGGGTGCAGGGTTGAACTGATGGAGAATCGCCACACGTACCCTTGTGGCTCCGCGCATGGCATCTGCCATTTGTTGGTTACTTCTTAGAGTCTGTATTCTCAGTCCAACGGCTTGCAGCTGTGTCCTCATTTGGTAAAACTTTTGGACATAACGTCGAGTGCGAACGAGGTCCTTCGCCATCACTTTACACGCATTCTACTGAGAACATTGAAATTGATGCACGACGAGGGAAAGAAAGGTACCAGTTGGCCAGCTTTAGCACTTTTCTTGATGTCTGCCACAAGCTTCTTCTCGCTCTGCTCAAGCTTTGACCGTTCACGGTCAAGCTCTCGTTGTGCTTTGTTCAATGCACGTTGATGCTGTCGCAATCGCTCAGCAGGCGTGACCGTCTTTCCAAACAGAGTTTCCTTTGTGAATATTAGCAGCTGCCGGAGCGACAATTGAGATGGAGACCGCACTATTATGTTCATGACAATTCGCGTCCGGGTGGTTGTGAAGAAGTGACAGGATTGCTGGGCGCTTGCTCTTGAACCTGGGTCTTAGCGTTAGCTACTATGTATCAATTTAATTACGTAATAATTTCGTTATGCTTTCCACACTGAATGACGTGACGGTACATACTACACGCTGTTCATCATTCGATACAATTGACATCCTATGGAGCCTGATGCAGTCGGATTGCGTTGCAATTTAACGTCCTGCAATGAGGTTGATTTCCTACCGATCAAATGTCACTGTAACAAGGTATTTTGTAGGTACCACATCTTCCCTGATAAGCACACTTGTGCGTCACTAGATGGGCCTTCCGAGGGACATGCCCTCATCGTAAAACGCCAGAGATGTGCTCTTGGAGGTTGCGAGAAACCGAGCCTTGAAAGTGTTGTCAGCCAAGAGGTTAATCTCGAAACGAAACCAACTTCATCTACGGCATGCCCGAAATGCCTTCTGTCATTCTGTATTAAGTATGTCCTCTAGAATTTTTTTATACAAGAAACTTAACTGGCTAGTCATCGTCATCAAAATTTGCATTCTTGTACAGGTTTACAGAAGCAGGAGTCCGATGAGAAGAAGGATGCTCAAGATATCCTCACACGCCATTTTTCCAACCCACCTTCACATACTCCCCTTGCCGTCCGACGCACAGTCAAGCCTCCTACAGACCCAAAGAAATTAGCTCAAATACAGAAAGTGACACTCATGAAGATGCGTCATAGTGCTACTGCGGGGGACCCTAGAGATAAATCATCCGCCGTACCTGTCAATGAACGCTTGCACATCAAAGCTCGATTGAAGGTGACTGGGATGCCCGTACAAGAAAGCGTACTTTGGTTCAGAAAGGTGACATCCATCTTTTTGATAGGCTATGTGGATTATCTCACCTTTAGCTTGTAGTCTGTGGTCACGGGCAGGGCATTAGACCTGATCTCGGCAAACTTTGAGGTTCCCTCTTCGTATCAAACAGTTAGTTAAATTTACTCAAGAACACGATTCGGTTAACCTCATCATTCTGCTAGCCGCTGTGCCTAATAGAGAAATCAGCCTCAGATCCTTCAAGTTGCTCACCCCTCCAGAATGATCTGTTGTTGTCTGAGCAAGTGGAGGACACTTGTACTGTCGTGTTGTCGGCTCTTCCTTATGGTCGAAGTGATTGATCAATGGATGTCGCGATGCTCGTCTTCACCTCAATTTCGAGATCTTGCTGGATTTATCCATGGACTACAAGCTATGAATCATAACGGCACCGCTTATTCCTGGCATGTTTGTATCTGTCAATGTAACTTAGTCAAAGACTGTCGTCCGCTTGAAAGCCCTTCTCCACTATAACGTTCGTCAGGGATGCTAAACACATAAACTGAGTTAACAAGGTTCTGAAGTAGCTAGAGCACAAAGATTGGCGGCGTAAAGTATAGTATTATAGGAACGTCAGGGTCAAACACGGGCAAAACATCAAGCTACTAATGCAGCTAATCTGCGTAGATGAGACACATTGAGATATGCTGGAACGTATGTCTCCAAGCCAGACACCTCGCGAGGCCAGGGAGGTTCAAATGGACCGACTTCTTCCGATTCGGGTGATAGTAATAAATGGTCGTTCCGATCATTTGCCTGAACACGCGAAGCCACTACACGTAGAATCTCAGGAGAAATGGGATTCTGAAGAAGTCAGCGAAGAAAATGATTGCAGGATGCCTATGCTCATACCTCATATTCTGCCACGTAGTAGTTCGTACACATTCGCTGTATTTGCATCGGACTGAGCATCCAGCAGACATCGTATATGATCTCTATATCTGCGGGCGTTGCCTGTTCCACGGTTGTCAATCAACAGTTAACCAGATGTAAAAGTAGCACGCACCTTCTTTAGTTGAAGGAGCTTGATGGCCTGCATTAAGTGTTCTAACTGGAGCGTCCCCTCGGGCATGTCGTGAGACTTGCACCACTCTTCTATGCGTGTGATATTGTACTGAATTTGCATGGCTTTTAAAATTTTATGTCAATGAAACAACGCTGTGTGATCGATAGGAACACACCTCGTTTCCAAGAGGAGAAGTTTCTTCTCATTAAAAGATCATTAAAGCTCGTGACGCCGATTAACTTGAGAAGTTCAGCCATAACTTGTTGCACCACTGAATCCTCCATGTAATAGCTCTTCAGACTCTTCCAGACCATGTTCAGAAGGTTTAGGATGTCGTCCATGCTGTATGCTGGCTGGCTGTTTGTATTGAGGAGACGATTAAATAACCGACCACCGCCATCGCTTGTTGTGAACCCCGGCAGAGACTGACTCTCTATCAAAGCAGGTACGACCATCTTCGTAAGGCGCTTCTTCGTCTCTAGCATCCAAGTATGGTATATGTTATACTCCAAGCTGCCAAGGTCGTGCTTGACGACCGTGACAAGCCGTTCATAATCATTCCAGTCAAACTCTCGGACAGCGTTCTCTTCTCCAGGGCCAATACCTTGTAGCATATCGCTCTCAGCCACATAGATGAACGACAGCATCTCGTGGACATTCGAAAGCCAGTAAATTCCGGGTATGATGGAATCTTCACCGCTGAATGACTTTAGGGTCCAACATGTTAGCAAATGAAAACAGTCGGCGATAAACAACCATCTTACCATCACATGGGCTTGAATGGACTCCATGATATTTGCCAAAAACCGCTCGCTCTCTGGTATCAACCCATATTTCCACATCTCATTGGTAACAAGACTAATGAGATTTGCCGGGAAGAGGATCTCCTTCACAGCAGACGGGTTTGTGAGGCTTGGTGCTGGAATCTTCAGGCCTCTGATGAGACCAACAAGAACATCCTCATCCAGTCGCTTGGTGTCCTGCATAAGTTTGATCTTCTCCTCAGCAAGGTCATCATACGAGCGAACATCTGCCAGGCCGTTGCTGCGCATGCGAAGGACGTTGTCTTCGCCGTTATATGCGACAGATACTGCGCGATGGTTGAGAGCTTGATTCTTCTTGACGTCGAGCATGAGTTCATCAACGGACGTGCGGGTTTCGGCTGGGCTGAGTTGAACAACACCTGCAGAACTGTGTCTTCGTTGGTGACGACTGTTCGAGGGCGGGACAAGAGCTGCGCCGTTGGAGAGACCACCAGAATCAGGCATACGCAACGCCGGAGCAAAAGTGGGGGATACAGGAACTTCGACTCGAGCATTCCTTGTGAGAGCGTTGTAGGCATTGGCCCGGTTTAGCTGCTCCCGTAGGCTACTGACTTCATTCTTGAGAGTCAGTATAACAGACCCATCCTCGACGGAACGTGACGGGGTATGAGCAAAGGCCTTCTCCTGGAATTGCAGCTTTTCTGCCTGTGCAACGAGCTCGTCTGACAGCTTTTGGATCATTGCTTCCTTCTCCGCAGCCTTAGCCACAGCCTCATCCAATCGCTTCTCCACATCAGCCTTTGCTAAAAGAAGCTCATCGCGCCGTGATAGTTCCGCCTCGGCTGTTGATAGTGCAGTCTGAAAGGACTTCGCTTTTGTGTCGGCCTCTTCATATTTCGATGTCCACTGCTGAATCTGTTTCTCCAACTCAGAAAGCTGCGCTTGCAACACCTTTTTCTCCTCCGTACGTGTCTGAAGCGTTTGAGTGAGTTCTACTACCTTGTTTTCTAAGCGATACGATATCTCCTTGAATTTTGAGACGGAACGGGCCTCAGCTCTGAGAGCCTTCAGTTGTTTCCGAGCGAGTCGCCGACGGACACAAGATTGCAAATAAATGACACGCTTGACGTCCGTCTTGTGACTACGACGATAAAGCCTATGGGGCAAAATTGGTAAATTCTTATCACTTGACAATTACAGACGTACACTCCACGGAAAAGAGATTGCAAGAGAATAGCAGCATGTGAAGTCTTTCTCTCTCTGTACAGCCATCGGGCTTGGGCACCGCGGATACCTGTGGCGAGAGATTCAATATGTTTCTGTACGAATTCATAAAATACCCACGGCTCTGGAATAATACGATAGATTGTCTTGTCTGTACGAAATTGGACCTCTGAATGAAACGGCGGATACCAGTTTGAAGGCGTCTTGCGGCAAGTTCTCTACGAACGTTCTCCACGAGCCTACGGGCCATTATACCGCGCCACCAAGTTTGAATTTTGATAGTAACTCGGCGTAACTCCTGGTACTTCTTCACGGCCATGCGCCTGCGCATGTTCTTTTGTACAATTGTGACAAGAGCATTGAGCTTTTCCGAGCGGAGGGACTCCAACGCTGCGAGCATGCCAGCCCTGAAAAAAATCTTTGTGAGACCACTTTGATATTTGTCAGGGTCGTTGATAGTTCTCTCAAGAATAAGTGAGCAGAGAGGCTTGAGTTCCATGTGCTGTATCATGGGCTGCCAATCTGCCGAGGGCACCAGCATGTAATACCTGTATAATGATCAGTAATTAATAATGCAGAAATGCGCAGTAGTCATCGTACCGTTCAGCAAACTCTTCATAAGTCCAACGTGAAGGGTATCCAGCACAAGAAATACGTATGGTTTCGAGAACGCCACAAGCACGCAACTGGCCCAAAACTTGAGACGGTGTGAACTCCCAAGGTCTTTTGGCTTCGTTGGGTTTGATGCACCGGATATAGTGGACGTTTGTGACGCTGAGGGTATCCATCAGGGTGATCAGCGAGGCTTTGAAGATAGAGCCTTGTGTGGGTTTTCGGATGGCAGCTCCTGGTTTCTTGGGGCCAGCGTTCGCTGCGACCAATGATGAACGACCGGGATCAGGAATGATGGATGAACGACGGGAACCTCCACTCCCGGAATCAGACAGAGAGGGTGACCCAGGGTGTGGAGGATCGGCTGCTTTCACAGATCCGAGGGCAGCGTCGAGAACTTCCTTCAAGAAGGGGTTCTTCGTGGATGCCAACAAAAGCATATGTTCATCAGGAACTGTATCGCGGTTCTTCTCAAGGAATCCTTCGACTTCGTACGTAACATCATGGGCATAGTGGGCAATGGTGAATGCAGAATTTCCAAAGCGAGGTTTCTTGAAGACGTCTTTGTTGGAAGGCTTGAGAAGCTGGCTGCTCAGCTTTTGAAGGAAAGACGTGTCACTGCCTGACGGTAAACGCGACTCTTCATCAAGAAGCGCGAGAACGCCTAGTTTCCCTTCGATCACATCAATGCAAGGTTGATTGTCTGAAAAGTCGATGAAAGTCCAGTTAATCTCCTCCTTAACGTACTCCTCTTGCTCGAGTTTGAAGACGTGAGAATTGAACTATGACAGTAATATCTTAAGCCATGAACACGTTGCGGACACTTTACACCTACCTCTTGTTGTAATTTCTCATTAGCATAGTTGATGCTAAACTGCTCGAAGGAGTTCTGTAAACAGTTGAGTATCATGAATCAACTGAAAGATAGGATGCGACCTTCTGAAAATGTTCAAACCCGTAAATGTCCAGCACACCGATGAACATCTCAGCTCGCTCGGCGGCATCTCCATTTTCACCAGCCAAACTTTCATTGACGATGGCCACCAACCATTCAAATAAGCATGCATACACAAACTTCGCCACGCTATCCCTAACCACTGTCGCCTGGGCGGCGTTGAGTGCAGTGACAATTTTTTCTGAGCGCGTGACGATTTGCTTCTTGATAGTCCACTTCTTGAAATCGGCGAAGTTCACTCCCAAGAAGCGAGTAGCAAGAAGAAGGGCAGGATCTGCATCATCTACGACCGAATCGGTTCGTGTTTGGGTAATCTTTACGTTGCCTAGATGAAGCAGGGCCGAGAGAAGTCGGAAGACCGCCCACTGTTTTTCTACACTGATTCCAACTGTCGATAATGCCTGCTGCGTGGCCCGGAACTCCTCCGCGTCATCAACTCCACTTATTGGTGTCGACGTCGGTCCTCCTTGTTTCAGATAGTGAAATTTAGTCACGTCAGTATCAAGGCCAAGGTCCTTCCGTTCTTTCGACGGCGCGCCAGCGCACAGTTGATAAAAGATATGGTAATTCCGTTCGGTCGTCGGTTGAAACACAATGCGCGATCGTTCCAGCAGATAAGTCCGAATTCGGGCGCCGACAATTTCTTGTTTGCCATCGAAAAGAATCTACAGCGCGTGTTAGATATTCAGCGGCCTAAACTCAAATTACTCGCCTGAATGTATTTACCAAATCGCGAAGAATTGTCGTTACGGGTTGTTTTGGCATTTCCAAATGATTCTAGGATCGGATTTGTGGCGAGTATCTGGCGTTCGATTTCACTAGATTCGTCGAGAGAGAATTTCGTCTTCGCTTTGGTTTGGTATTCGGGAGGATTTACCGATGCAAGGTATCGCATGATGAATTTAGCCTGAAAATAG